TAGTCTTCTTTGAGGATCAAACTTTTGAAGATTTGAAGAAGAAGGCACCAGCCAATATTTCTGCAGAAGGATTAGCAGATTGTGACCCAATTACTCCTCCAGTATATTAGGGTGATGGGAGAGATGTGCAGTAAGATAGTGTAGAGCCTGATGTTGATCTACCTGTAGGATATGTTGAGCAAGAAGAAGTTGGAGAGCAACTTCCCGCAGAACCTCAGTTGAGAAGATCTTCTAGACAACGTCAACCTTCCAGAAGATACTCTACATATGAGTATGTGATGCTTACTGATGCAGGTGAACCAGAGAGTTGCTATGAAGCAGTTGAAAGTGAGCAGAAAGAGAAGTGGTTAGTTGCTATGCAGGAAGAGATTGATGCTTTTCAGAAGAACCACACTTATGATTTGGTGCTACTACCAAATTGAATGAAAGCCTTGAAGAATAAGTGGGTTTTCAGGTTGAAGACTCAAGAATATTGTTCTCAACCAAAGTACAAAGCTAGATTGGTTGTGAAAGACTTTGGTCAAAAGAAATGTATTGACTTTGAAGAGATTTTTTCTCCTGTTGTTAAAATGTCTTCTATTCGTATTACTCTTGGTATTGTTGCTAGCCAGGACTTGGAGGTTGAGCAGTTAGATGTGAAGACAGCTTTCCTTCATGGGGATTTGGAGGAGGAAATTTATATGGAGCAACCAGAAGGCTTCAAAGTTAAAGGTAAAGAGAACTTTGTCTGCAAATTGAAGAAGAGCTTGTATGGGCTAAAGCAAGCTCCAAGATAGTGGTACAGAAAGTTTGATTCATTTATGATAGAAAATGGATACAAAAGAATGGCTTCAAATCATTGTGTGTACATCAAATGGTTTGGTGAATATGTATTGACAGGTTACACAGATGTAGATATGGCAAGAGATATAGATACGAGAAAGTCTACTTCAGGTTATGTACTTACTTTTGCAGGGGGAACCGTGTCATGATAGTCTAGGTTGCAAAGGTGTATTGGTCTCTCCACCACAGAAGCAGAATATATTGTTGCTATAGATGTATGCAAAGAAATGTTATGGATGAAAGAATTCTTACAAGAATTGGGGCTGAAACAGAAAAATTATGTGGTGCATTGTGACAGCTAGAGTGTCATCCATTTGTGTAAGAACCCAATGTTTCATTCAAAGTCAAAGCATATAAATGTCAGATACCACTGGATTCGAATTTGAAGAGAAGCAGTTAGAGCTTTAGAAAATTCACACAGATGACAACGGAGCAGAAATGTTGACAAAAACTTTACCAAAAGAAAAACAGGAGATATGCCGACAGTTGGTTGGCATGGCTTCACATTGAGGAGTCATGGGACAGCCTCCCTTATGGGTTGAAGGGGGAGGTTGTTGGGCTGGCAGCCCACAAATTCAGCCCATAGTGGGCTTGGGCAGCCCACAGCTCACCCCCTCTTAACCTAACCCTAATTAACATTAGGGGGGGTGTGGTGGCTGCGTTTTGGAGACAGAAAAAGGCATAAATAGGGCAGCGACGTGGGAGAAGAAAACAGTCATGAGATTCCAAAGAAAAGGAGGAAAACAAGTTAGAAAAGAAAAAGAAAGAAAGGGAAGAAGACAAGGACAACACAGAGAGGCTGTTCTCAATCATCTAGCAGTGTTCTCATCTCATGTTAGATCAAATCTACAGTAGACTCTTGTTGTGATTACTTGGGAAGGTTTGAGATATCGTAGACAGTGACGTGATCCTTGTATCCCAGTTATTCTCTTGTGATTGTTGCTAGGGTTTAGGGCAAGAGATTGAGATTTGTATATTCATTATTCTCATAGTGGATTATCTCTAGTTTGCCCCGTGGATTTTACCCTTCACATTTAAGGAGTTTTCCACGTATATCTTGGTATTCTATTTGATTGTGGTTCCATTTAATTCCGCTGCATATCATGACCTGCTAGTATTTGTTCATATACAAAGATTATTCCGTTTTATATCCCCATCTTCAGATCCTTATAAGAACCGATCATGATCGAACTTGCATGGTTTTGACAAGCCATCAATTAGCATTCTTCTAACATATCACTGGAAAATACTCATTACTATTGAGGATCCAAACTCATCTAAAGCTGATCTCAATACTTAAAGACTAGCAGTTTGCATAAGATGAGATTTCATGTAACATATTACTGTATTACATGCTTTGTATTAGGTTAAATGTGCTACAGTGTTTCTAATGCAGAAACAACACATGTACTGTGCAAGTTAGCTGTCAATTCTTCCTCGAACTAGACGTTCGTTAGCTGTCACTATTGTGTTCATCCATCTCAATCTCCTCCGTCACCATGAGACAAATCATGAAAGCTCCACCTACCTTTCTATCTCTCTCTCTCTCTCTCTCTCTCTCTCTCTCTCTCTTCTGGAATATCAATCTTCTTCTTCTTCTTCTCACAATGGGCAACAGCCCCTTTCTTCCGCAAGACATTCAAAGGTCAGAAGGTACGTGCGCGAAACTAGTCCTTTTGATAAGACTAATTGGCGGTGGTGATCAGGTACTACTAATTCTTAATGTGCTTTTATGTGTTCTGGAATTGTCATGTGTGATTTCATGCCATATATTATAGACAGTTGTATGCTTCATGATCCATTTCAGATCGTCTCCAGACACAGAGGATCAAACCCAGCTATGTAGTAGTTGTTTCCTCCATGATATATCGTAGCAGCAGTATCATTGGGTTTATCAACTGTTCTTGTGAATCATAAGGAGTGGGAATTGAGACAAACATCAAAACAGCATACAAAGATATTTTTATTCTCGAGTGTCGTGCGTTTAGCAGTAAAAAATGTTTGCATATACTTCGGACCAAGCAATAGAAGAACAGCATGTTGGTTTCCAGCTCTCTCTCTCTCTCTCTCTCTGTGCGTATATATTACATATATTTGCAGAAAGAAGTAAAGAAGCTATGATGAGGATTGAGAGATGGAGACGGTAACACACCTTAATCGACGCCTTACATTGTCGTTGGGCACCAGTACGTGCACTTTACTGAAACATGGGCACTGTCGAAGGGTTGCGACTCGTCCAAGCGACTCAGAACTGAGCTATCAGATACGTCAACACTAGACGCAAACAAGAACGAAAAGGAAAAGGAGAAAGAACCACAGCGTGAAGGGGGAAGAAATCATCCATGGCGATTGCTGGTTGGTGGATGCATACGGAGTAGGAGCACATGGGAAGACCAAGTAAACAAATGGGCTTCCACCTGCCTGGAAGAACACTGTCTCCTATTGCCTGCCTATATATGACAAGACATATATAGAAGAAGAAGAAGAAGAAGAAGAGCTTGAGAGTTGCAAGTCCATTGCACTGCAGCAACTTGGAGAAGAAAACTGGTGAGTAATTGCAGACATGAATGATCTACTGGTGCATCAAACTTGGAGTGAAGGTTCTCATAGGGTTCCATCGCAGGAACAGGAGCTTGTTTACTTGGGTTTGGCTTTCTGCTGTTCTTGAGACTGAATCTTCCTGATTTTAGATGATTTTTTTTCCCATATAAGATTCAGAATGTTCAGGTCAAACCATCCTCTTGTTGTTGATCTGCATTCATGTTAATCTTTGAGTGATGCCAGGGTTTTCTTTTGCATGATCTGAAACCATGTTATTTTGATCACCACATTCTTGAGATCTGAGAGAAACAGTACTATAAACACAATTGTTTTGATGATTTACTACAGATTGTGAACTTTCCGACATGAAAGAAAAGAGAGGAGAGGAGAGAGTTTAGTTCATCAAAGAAGAATGTATTGCAGATCAAGAATTATTTGCTAATGTGTTGGTATCCAGAAACCATAATTTGTTTTCCTATTGCATTTCAAACTCTATATATTATTTTTCTTATTTGCTTTAATAGATTATAACGTAACTCTAACCAAATATGTGAATTATTATTGACTAATTTAAAGTACATGTGATGATTTTTTTTGTCTTTGATTTATTCTCTTAAATGTTAGATAATAATAAAATTATAATTTTGGCAGATATAATATGAATTCATCTGCTGTTGGAATTTATATGTATATCGAATAATGGTTAATGATATCGGATTATAAATAATGGTAACAGAAAGACTCATCAGTCAAACTTATAAGGCTCGATTTGTAAATAGGTCAAAATTAATGACGAGGTGTACACCCAGCTACAGCTGGCTCTCGAGAGTCTGATGGGAACACAAACGTGGAAAGATCACGGCCGTAAGAATAGGCGTAGGAGCAATATCTAGACCGTCAATCTCCCGACGTCCTCGGAAAGCCGCGTCCGCCCTCGCTGGACGTCGACTTATGAGGGTCCCACGTTCCGCAGGCTCCACGTATGCCCGCTTCTCTCTTGCTTGCCTCCGCCGTTTCACTTCGGCGCGGGAATTAGGGCTGAGACCGGGATTGATGGTTCTTCCCCATGGATATCCGGTCGAGAGGGAGAGATCCCGACCGAGCAGCCGCGTTTGAGGGGCTTGCTTTCTACGGCGAGTAAGACGAAGACGACAATGGATCAGTATCGCGGATAAGTGTCTCGAAAAGATTGCGTCTTTCACGAGCCACAGACCGCCGCCCGTCGCCATGGAAGCGTGGCGTTGGAGTCATCCCCTCTTCGGTTCTAATAGACAGTGGAAGAGAGGGTGGTCTTGGCATGGATCAAAAGGTGGTTTTCCGAGAGACGGAAGGAACCCTTTTCCACTGCAGGTATGCAGGTTCTTTAGCTCTGTTTTGCTCCTTCCATTGGAGTAGCGCTCTGTGAGATAAGCTAAATTATCTTGGTTTATAATCCTCTCGCACCACTTTTATTCCCTTCTTGACAGAAAAAATGGCTACCTAGGTGGTTGATTTGTAACAATGATGGCCTTTTCGCTGATAGAGAGTGAGCAGTTGAATTTGATTTTCCTGTTATTGAAAAAAAATGTCTTGCAAGTCCGAGTTAGGTTGTTAGCACTCACTGGACTGATATTTATATTCCTTCTTAATATCTGCCATGTTCAATGGATAACTAATACAAGTAGTTTGAAAATTCCTAGCTACAAACAGTAGAGCATAAAACTTTTCAGCTTTGATGGTTTGGAAGCACATGGCTGTTATGTGGTTCATTGAACTTTATGGAATCTAGCATTTATTTGTTTTGGTTATCACCTTGATCAAGGTGAATGTGTAGAATATTTCTTTTATGAGGTCAAGAGAGCTCTATGATACTAAAGAGTAGTTCTTTAACTTTTTCTAGTTCATAGTGATCTTCATCCACTAGCTTGAACTCTTCGTTACATTTTTGTTTGGTTCACTTGCCTTATTGGAACTCTAATTAGGTTCGCTGAGGTGGGATGATCGAGGCTCTTTTGTTTGTACCCACAGATTCTATTTTTCTACTTATGCCGGAGAAGTAACAATTGATGGTTCATGAACTTCTGTGAGAAGTATTTGTGATCTTCTATAACTGGAACTTGAAAGAATATTTATTTTTCTTGGCCTTGTTAAGAATCTTAAGTTGCTATGCTAGGCTGTGATAGGTCAATTTGATACTTTGTTTGGGCGCATTCAAACATTTTCAACTAAAAATTTATTTTGCCGCTCAGCAATTTATTTCTTCTTCCTCTTCCTCCCGAAAGATACTTCACATTAAATAATGTGCTTACATTTGTTTTTTTCATGGCGTAGGTTCGAAGAGCCAGATGGATGGCAAAGAATGCAAAGGTTTAAAGAAGGAGGGTTCCCCATGTCCTGAGAGCTTTCCATCTCTTTTTAGGTACATTGCAACCAGATCATTTGCTGATTTTGATATCACTCACAGTCCTGGAGGAGATCTTGCATTTACTAAAGTAAGTTATTATCATCTATCCATGGATCAGTTTTGAGTTTCCAATGGCCAACTTACTACCATCATGTATGGTGCATAACTCATTATGCTTAGATTAACTTGTAGGTATCTTTCACCAATCTTTATATGATTACTTGTGTGCATGTAAATTATGACCTATTTGTGTTTAGGTATAATTTTTACAGATCTACCCTTTTACATGTAAATATTTTGTGGTCAAATATAATAACTTCAGTTGGTTCAATCATGGCATGAAACATTTATCTTTGCTTTTCCTTTCCTGTTTCAGGTGCGAGAAGCTATCAGTGACAACATTCAGGCCAAAAAGCTCAGCATTTCCTCACCAACTTCACCGATTCAGATGATTGAGCACTATCATGTGCATTCTATTTCCATCAGCATGCCTGCATCACCTTCTGCATTTGATAGAGAACGTTCCACAGGAATTCTTCACAGTGAAAAAGGTGGATCATATACTACTAAGGGGAAGATAAACCATCCCATTAGTGCTACTGCTGGCCTGCAGCAACAAAACCAGTCAAAGTTTCACTCTCAGCCTATACCGATTGGAAATTCCCACACAAACACATCTCCAGAAATAAAGATTCTAGATTCTCTGGGGTGCCAACAGCAAATATCACAGAACAGTAGAATTAAGGACAAACACTATGAATCTTTTAAGACATGGTCTGGCAAACTTGAAAGGCAGATATCTAACCTACGAGGGAAACCACAGGAACCAGAGGAGGTAACTGATGCAAAGAATGCTAAACCAGAGGCTGTACCAGCGGTCGGCCGCTACTTTGATGCCTTAGAAGGGCCTGAACTGGACAAGCTTAAGGTATCTTTTTTATGCTATCTTGTTTATGGAAATTGCTAATTTGACATGCTTTTCATCTTTTACAGAGTTGCTTACCATCAAATTATGTATATCTGTTCCTGAACGTAAACATGTTTTCAATATCTGATCTGGATGAAACCATTAACACAAATTACAAAATCTTGCGATTTGGGTATGAGCAGAGTAAATGTATCCAACTACACATAGTCAAACTTATTTGTGAACACCATTAGAGATTTTAATATTTTGCATGTAGGGTAGTATAGCATGGTTCCTCATTCCCCATTTTGTAATAATTTTGCAGGCATCAGAGGAGCTTATTCTTCCCAAAGACAAAAAGTGGCCTTTTCTTCTTCGTTTCCAAGTGTCCTCCTTTGGTATGTGCCTTGGCATCAGCAGCCAAGCTATCCTGTGGAAGACATTGGCTACATCACCATCCATGACTTTTCTACATGTAAGCCCGACCATCAATCTCACTCTATGGTGTATCTCACTTGCACTAATGGGCCTTGTGTCTGCCATCTATATGCTGAAGATCATATTCTACTTTGAAGCGGTACGCCGAGAGTATTACCATCCTGTACGAGTTAATTTCTTCTTCGCTCCATGGATAACCTGTCTCTTCTTAGCAATTGGTGCGCCTCCCTCAGTTGCCGTCAAGCTGCATGCTGAGCTTTGGTATGTGCTAATGGCTCCAATATTCTGCCTTGAACTAAAAATCTATGGCCAATGGATGTCTGGAGGGCAACGCAGGCTATCAAGAGTGGCAAATCCTTCAAACCACCTATCAATTGTCGGTAATTTTGTTGGGGCTCTGCTGGGTGCATCTTTGGGTCTTAAAGAAGGCCCCATCTTCTTCTTTGCCGTTGGGCTAGCGCACTACACTGTACTCTTTGTGACCTTATACCAGAGGCTTCCAACAAACGAAACACTACCAAAGGAGCTTCATCCAGTTTTCTTTTTATTCGTAGCAGCACCTAGTGTTGCCTGCATGGCATGGGCCAAGATTACTGGCAACTTTGGTTACTGCTCGAAGATTGCCTACTTCACTGCGCTATTCCTTTATGCATCTCTTGTAAGTTTCTCGAACACCGTAGACTTATAGTTTTTCAGTTTCTGGTTTCAATAATGTATACAAATTTGTGAAACCCTTCACAGTTTCTGAAATCACGAAGAAATTCACATGTGATTATTGATTAAAAGCTGAACAAACTTTCACAACTTAGTATTTCAATATTGTTTGATGTAAACATTAATTAGAGCAGGCTTGACGCTACAAGTTATAAAAACAAAATGATTTTTTGAAGCAGAAAAAAAAATGATGTGCTTAATGGTGATAAAATTGTAACCAAATGACCCATAATCCTTCAAGTAATTATATTCATGTTCTTTTGTAGCATAATTGTGATGCAATAGAGTAACATTTTTCTACAGCTGAATATGTACCATTGTTACTGTTTAGCTTTATGAATTGTGGCTATTTACATTTCCACTTGTGCAGGCTGTACGGATTAATTTCTTCCGAGGCTTCAGGTATATTATGATTTGTTCTTCTGTCCGAGTTTGACTTATTGTAAATTTCTTTTTCTCCCTCCCAAACTACTGCCTTTATAACTCTTCTATCAACATTGTAGGTTCTCGCTAGCTTGGTGGGCTTATACCTTCCCGATGACAGGAGCGTCCGTAGCAACCATTAGATACTCAGCTGAAGTCGAGAACACATTTACTCGGACACTATCGATTGTGCTCACTGCCATCTCTACCCTAACAGTAGCGGTTATGCTTGTTTCAACGATCATTCATGCCTTCGTCCTGCATGATCTTTTCCCTAATGACATCTCCATTGCCATCACCGAAAGAAGAGTGAAAGGGTGCAAGGGACGCATGCATACAGTAACATCGAGCTCAGATACCGTGGACTCAGAAGCTTGTGCAGCATCAAAAGTGGAAGGCCACTTGCATCTGCCTGCTTCATCCGGTGCACCCCAAGTACAACTCTGAAACGGCTAGTTTCAAGATATCTTCCACCACGTTCTTATACTGAAACCGATGACGGCATCAACATGATTATTTACTTAATGGTGTTTCTTTGGTGATGAATGAGATGTAGTGTGGAACAGATCTAGTTGTATAGTAACATTATCCGAACAATATAGGAAAAATGACATAGCAGGCATACAAGTATATACTTTTAACTGTAGAAAACATTTACTCATTGCAACACATATTTCATGTTCCCATCTGGGCCAAATAAAATCCGTCTCGTCTCAGCATCTCATAGTATAAGACAACATGCATGTATGTAAATGGCAATGACAACCATGATTGTTAGGGGGCAACATGATCGTCTGCATATTAATTATTCTCAACTGCACATAAGCTTTAATTTAAATAATTTGAAGTAAAAAACATATTACAGGGAAAACGAGTACAATCCAATGACACCTTCGCTAGATGATGCAGCCAAACTAAGTTAACTTGATGAAGATCAACTAATCTATGCTCTCATGAATTCCACCATCTTCTTTGTGATGTCAAGGCTGCTTTGTGTGTCATTTTAGCCATCTTCACGATATGCTTTATCAGCAGAAAAGAAGTGTGGCGAACATCTCATAGGAAGTAAGTCAACTGCTGCTTCTTTCGTGAGCCACCATCGCCATATAACTCGTTCCATTGCTTCAACTCGCTCATGATGGACCCCTCGGCTGCGAAGCTCGCCGCAACCTGGAAATTAGAAGATGAGTGATGAGTATATTCTCTATCAAAAACTAGAGAATTCTGTCAATAAGTAAATCTTAACACAAACAGGTGAGTGACCATGATATTTTCGGACATACGATCAACTTCTCTCTTTTGTAAGGGTTCGACAAAACCCGCAGACCTTTGCATCCAAGAACTCTTAATATTTACGGTACGAGCTAGCAGACTTTTGCTCGTAGGCCAGAAGCCATATCAAGTTCTTCAGCCTAGGACCAAAATGATTCCTGAAAATGACCTAATCTAAAGATTACTCAAGATGCACAACTATGACTACAAGGAAAAATTATGTTACATTCAGACTAGACGGCTCAGTATATTTTACTAGCATGAGAAACATTCTCATGATTGAAGGTTGTCTGTGGCAGCTACATCATCCCATGCTGGTGGATATGCATCACCGACCATCTTGTTCTCGTCCGAGAACATTGGGCAAGTGATGGGCAGAGCAAGACTCATTGCTTCTGCACATGCCTTTTGCGTGCCACATCATGGTAATGAAGTCATTTCCGATACCATGTAAAATATTAAAAAGCCCTCTAGAGTAACAGGTTTATCATTAACACAGAATGCAACACTGAAATCCCCCTCAGGTGTCAATCTTCCTAGATCCAAATAATTGCTAATGCACATTATAGTAAGACTCATGATCAGTTGTAAAATAAGAACAAAAAAATGATCCAACTAATCCAATAACAACTGTATACTGAAGAAAACTGATGTGCCAATTGATTTTCTCACTGGGCAAAATTAAGCTACAAACACAAATTCCATTCATAAAACCATAGAAGAGAAGATGAACTCACTTGGTTCTTTGCCTGCTTCATGTCTTCCATGTTTAATGGTCTTAGGACAATTGTTTCCTCTCTATCTTCTGCCTTTGTTTCTGAAGCCTCTGCTTGATTATCTTCAGCCTTTTTCTTCCTCTCCTATGGAGAAAAAAGAATGTGTTGTGAAGCCTGAACCAAGAAAGAAATAGTTCGACAAAGCTTATGCTGATCAATAGAGCAACAAATATCATCATGAAACTTGAACCAGCTGGAAAGAAGTAATGCTGCAACAGAACACTAAATCAACCATCCAAGTGACACAATGCAGGAAGATGCTCACATGACTAAGGTTGATGGCTTGATGCAACATCGGAAAACAATATAGACAAATATTCAAATAAAAACTCAACCGACTAAAACTTCATAATGTGAACAAACATCATGGGCAAAAGGGAACAAGTGGATAGAATATGTTCAACCTACTTGAACAAAAAACAAAAAAGGGTCTACCAAGAAATAAAACCACACAAAAACAGAAGAAAGAAAAGCAACCTCCATAATTTTAATATCTACATGATACAAATGAAAAAAAAAACCTCTCATTTCGAAGCTGAGTAGTCAAATATACAAAGAAAGAACTGAGCAGTCAAAAATGAAAGGAAAAAAAATGCAAAAAAAAAGTAATACCAATTCCTTGAGTCTTTCTTTCTGAATCAGCTCCCTGACAGGACGATATGCTGCTGTGGTGCACAGGTTCTGCTTTCAAAAGTTGCCTTTAGTGAAAAAGACAATTTATTGCTTCATAACTGAAGAGGTTGCACAAACCTTAAGATCACTGCCACTGTACCCTTCTGTCATTGTTGCAAGCTCCTTAAAGTCGAGTTTTTCTTCAACCTTCTCCTTTGACAAAAGCGTCCTCAGAATAAGTTCCCTGCTCTCCTGGGATGGTAGACCAACCATTATTCTGTTAACAAGAAAAAGTGGGAAGCTTGGTCAACATATGATCATATCAGCTACTCTACGATGCGAGCTGACGGTAGGGGAAAGAAAACACATGACAGACCTGCGCTCAAACCTCCTAATAATTGCTTCATCAAGATCAAAAGGTCTGTTCGTTGCTGCAAGAACAAGAATACGTTCCTCTGGCTTTGTCAGCAATCCATCCCAATGAGTCATAAATTCATTTTTTATTTTCCTCATTGCTTCATGTTCACCAACCCTGCTTCGTTGCCCAAGCATGCTATCAACCTCATCAACAAAAACAATAGTAGGGGAAACTTTTGCAGCCAGGGTAAATAATGCTCTAACATTTTTCTCATCTTCTCCAAACCATTTTGAAGTGATGGTAGACATGGAAACATTTATGAAACTTGCACCAGCTTCATTCGCTATAGCCTTAGCAAGCATTGTCTTCCCTGTTCCAGGTGGCCCAAACAGTAATATTCCTCTGCAAGGCTTAAGAAGACCACCTTTAAAGAGGTCTGGCCTACGAAGAGGAAGCATAACAAGCTCCTGAAGTGATTCCTTGATATCATCCAAGGCACCTATATCATCGAATGTCACTCCAATTTCACTTGCTGGGATAACCTCTGGTCTGATCCGCTTTTCAAATTCATTGTCAGGAGCAACTTCCTGAATGCATGTGAGAGAGAGAGTGAGAGAGGACAAAGTTTATCTAAAATCCTATAAATCAGTGAATTTTACACAAGCCATCTAATATAAACCAGAAGTTGCAATTCAGCTTGGAAAAGGCTCCCAAAGAGTAAAGATAATGTTTTTGGACAAAATGTAAGAATTATTTTTTTGACTTACCATATTTGAACACTTCTGCAAGGTCCGCCATATCGTACCGTATCGGAATTTCGACCCGGGCTCGGTATGGTATGGTACCGGTGTACCGGGCGGTACATCAGGGCGTACCGAGCGGTACATCCTGATGTACCGATAATTTTATATTATTTTTATACTGTAGCAGTGCTACAGTATAGTACTGTAGCACTATAGCGGTACCGAGCGGTCCGCGTACCAAAAACCTGTTGGATCGGTACGTACCGCCCGGTACATACCGCCCGGTACGGGCGGTACACTTCGGTACGGCAGACCATGCACTTCTGGTGTCATATTTTATGCCAGATTACTATTTTAGTCCCTATTCAAGTACTAGATGCCTCTTTAGATAGAATTCAGAAAATTATGTAATTAACTATTTTTGAAAAGTCTACTTATTAAAGAGTCTCATAAACCTATATAATGGTTTACCCCCTTGATGTATTAGTAAAAGTGATCAAATCTTTTCTTCTTATCTAATGGTATAAGAACATCATTCGTGTGTGAAGAGTGTCTGAGACCAAGAGCCCTCAGTGTGAGGCATTCCTCAGAAAGAATCTGGTTCATCACCTTCTTTCTTATAATTGTCTCAAATCTAATCACATTTTTGTCAGAATATGTAAGAATCAGATAGTATTATATGGTTGACAAAGTTAAATTTGGGCTACACATATACTACATGTTGGCCAATTAGCTTAAGCATTTGAATTGAATTGGTGTTTGGCTATCATATTGATACCTAATAAGTTCAGCATACCTAAGAAAGTTGAAAATTCAAAATTTCGTTTAACCTTCCATAGAAAATAAGTTTCTCTCTAAGGATGTACGTAACAACCTATTATAATGTTATCTTGAAGCACATATGTAAAATGTCAATATAAACAGTCAAAAGGAGAAAATAAAGAGGAATTAGCATACAGGTGCTTTTGGCGGTTGAGATGGAACGACACTGTCCTTCTTCACTACAGGAACAGACTTATCTAATTCAGTTTTACTTTCAGGAGGTGAAGCTTCGGTTTTTGTCTCAGATTTTTTGGCACTTGTTGAGTCTTCTTTTCCAGATTCCTAGAAATTAAAGAGAGTAAAGGGAAGGGAAATCTTACAAAAGAAAAAGTGGAAACCATGGCTACAAACCTTCATTGAATCAGCACTTCCCTCAAGCTGTGCAGTTCCCTTAGCATTTAGCTTGTTTTCTTGGAATATGCTTAATGCATGGGATAGACTGATCAATAAACACAATTAGAATCACAAAATAAAAAAAGAAAAAGCCTATCCCTGAAAAAGAGATGATAAAAGCCAAAGTATAGAATCCACTAGACCTCTTTGAAGAGATTACAAGTTTTCCATTTCTGTATTCAGGATCTGTGTTATTCATCAAGTGGTATGAAATTGCTGACACTACAATTTCCTCTATGTATTTACTAAGAACCATTGTGTCTGTGAGGCAGATTGAACCCAGATCATCACAATCAAGATCATTTCTTGCAAGTACCTCGGTAATGTGGTTTCTGTTGTCTTGAAATTGAATCATTTTCATGTCTTCTTCCAATTGGGCTTTCCAGCTAACAAGGTGAGTCTCATCTTCAGGTGGCTTAATCTCTATATTGTATGGGAACAAAAGACTCAACTTTTCATCCACTTCTCTAAAGTCACTTCCTGCTTCCACCTTCCTTGAACCAAGTATCAACACTTGTCCGCTTATCCTTTTCAACAACTTCTCGAACAGGGAATACATTCTTTTAGAAATAAATAGAAGACTATCAACATCCCTTAAATATAGGACAATAGGACTGTTCTTGGATATTGAATGCAGAACCTGGGAGCATCCAGCATCAGCCATTAGTTGAGCTAAGCATGTAAAATCAAACATGAAAATTTTCTAGCACTCAAATGATCCTAACCTATCAACTCCATCATGTCAGACCTTAAAAAAGACTCCAGTATGACCAGAAAGGTAACACTACAAAGAAACAAGTACCTTGTAAAGTGACTGTACAAGTAGTTTCTCATCAAAAGACCAGCTTATGGTTCGTTTGAGAAGAGCTGCATTCAACCAGAAGCTATGAGGAACAAAAGTTATATATGTTTGTCAAGAATCATACACCAACAGTGATAACAAAAAGAATAATAACAAGCGGTAATAATGAGTAAAGATCCATATTCATATAAGATCCAGCAAAGTTTATGTTAACATTTAATTGAACCCTGCTCTTTCCATTATTAGGGCAGTGGAAACAAAAATTAACAGCAAGGTCATACAGAATAACTAATGCATGAAAACCAAAGTCATATAATGAGAATCTTGAGTAACTACAAGTATCTAAATCTATAAACAGTAATTTGTTGGGAATAAAGATGAGTTTGACCCAATCCATGACCTTTTGATAGGAGAGAATAAGGTGAAAACATTCTTGGAGAAACTAAGTTAGACTAAAACATGAAGCAACTTGCATAGGCAAGAGGTAATATCAAGTTAGGTGATGGCCCAATTCAAAGATTGAAATTTCGTACCGTATCAGAGTTTCGTGCTTTTCTCGATACGGTATGGTACGGGCATACCGCGTACCGAATGGTATGCTTAAAAAATATTAAAATTAATTTTAATATTAAATAATATTAAATATATATATAATATAAAATCACAGAAATATAAAATAGCTAACAATGGTGTGCTTAAAACGATATTAATATATTATATTTAAATGATATTAAATATATAAAAAATATATAACTTAGCAACGCTCGAACCCTAGGTGAATAGCTACGGCGTTGAGGGATGGCAACGGGTGCCACAGCGAAGGCGCGGAAGAAGAAGAATTTTCTTTGGTGTCGAGGGAACGATGGCAGCGGGCGCTGAAGAGCTGCGGTGTCGAGGGAGCGATGGCAACGGGCGCCACAGCAAAGAAGAAGACGACGAAGAAGGAGGAGGAGGAGGAGCAGGCGGGCCGGGTACTATTTCTTGAAGCTTCTCCCTCTTCCTCTTCTTCGAACGTCTCTTCTTCCTCGCCTAGCCTCGCCGCAGCCAGGCTAATACCGCCCGGTAGTAAGTGGCCCGCGTGCCAGTCAGCTGTCGGACTGGTATGTACTGCCCGAACCGGGTGATACCATTCGGTATTGGAAACCTTGGCCCAAATTTTGTTTGCTGCAGTCGTCTGTAATTGCAATACATCAAATTGAGTCAATGAAGGTAATAGAAGAAGTGAGCAATTTTTTATATTAGCAAGCTTCCAGAACAGGAGTTCTGAGTTGGTGGTTGTTTGCCTGTTTCTGTGATTTCCAAATAAAAGAATTTCAACAGAATCATGCTTCATGGATAAACACTTTGACAGCACGTTTTGTGAAACACTTACATTCATGGATTGCTTTTCCCATGCTGCACAACTCATACAAAGCAGTTTCTACCAGTCCAGTTTAGGTCATTTGTTTCCTGTGCTAGTGAATTAATTACAGAGTGCAAGCAGATCCAATTAATCATCAACTGAATGAACTGAATATATATAGCTAGCCTAGAATACAACATTTGCTGCACTTAAAGCGGAAAGCATCTTCAATGTCCTTTGAAAATATATCTTACAGGCAGATCAATAATTTATGGAGTGGCATTTATTCTTAAATGCAGTTTCATTAAACAGTTCAAACTTTAATCTTTTTTCATCTGGGTTTCTTTGGTACATAGTTGCAACATTTCAAGCTAGCCTGATTCATGTTCAGTATATGCATCAGAACTTGTCAGTTTTAAAAATCTCCTAAAAATGTTGTTTTATGTCAGAATGTAGAACTTCACAAACCATTGAATAATGTTGCTTCATGATGTTGTTGCCAACAAAAGAAATGAATTAACTATAAGGTCCTATTAATTAAATATCTGGAAATAGTAACCTGGATTAAGAGGAGGGCATTGTGTCCCTAGGCAACTCATATCAGCTGAAGCAGAGGCATTTCTTCGAAGCTTTGGCGCATTACTGGTGCTTTCCGACCTACCATAAGAACAGCAAGGCAACAGTAAATGGATCAGATATAATAGCCTTGCAGTTATTCATACATAGATTTCGTAATAGTATTTTTCTCTCTAGACCTTGCATTTATCTCAAAACCACTGCTTTGCCTGTGCAAATTTCCTGCAAATAATGTCCGCAAAGGTATTAATGAGCCTTCACAACTAATACCAATTTTTTTAAGAACCTGAACAAAAGAGTGATGTCACCTGAAAATTAGTGATCTCATATTTTAAAATTACAACCATTTACTTCTACCAATTTATTTAAATTAGATAAACCTATATATTAAAAGCATAAATCAATCCATGAGGAAAAAGTAGCTACCTCCTGTTGCACAACTTTAATGGGGGAAAATAATTATGGATGAAACTTTGTTTCATGTTTGTCAATACAGAAAAGAAAATGTCACTTAGTTAAATAAACCTAATTAAAAGGAGTCAACCATCCAAAGTTCAATTTCCACTTAGTTCTTGTATGAGAAACATTTTTATTTCACTTGATTGTTCATATAGAATGGCAGAAAGACCTTAAAAGATAATCAATCAACCACAGCAAACTTCCAACTTCCAATTGCAGTACTTCAAATAAAGACAGGACAAGGTATCCCTACTAGTAACTTTTGGTTCCTCTCTCTGAGGCATGATTGAAAGAGACCCAAATAAACCAGACATTCGCTCAAGTGTTGTCTCAGATATGGATCTTTTAAATGTCTGCAGAAAAAGAAAAAAAAACAACTTAAATAAGTGCTGAGCCTTAGATTAACCTCTTCAAGACTTCATTGTTGATATCTAAAGAAAATGAACAAGAAACAAACTCTAGTTAAGATGAAACTTATGCTTACAACACATGGCTAATCAATAATATGGTGATCGAAAGAATGGAAACATGGATCATAGGCAAATACCAAATGGTGATTTTAAAAAACATATATATGTATATATGTATATATGTATATGTATATATATATGTACATGTACATGTACATGTACATGTACATGTATATGTATATGTATGTGTATGTGTATGTGTATGTGTATGTGTATGTGTATGTGTATGTGTATGTGTATGTGTATGTGTATGTGTATGTGTATGTGTATGTGTATGTGTATGTGTATGTGTATGTGTATGTGTATGTGTATGTGTATGTGTATGTGTATGTGTATGTGTATATATGTGTATATATATGTATATGTATATGTATATGTATATGTATATGTATATGTATATGTATATGTATATGTATATGTATATGTATATGTATATGTATATGTATATGTATATGTA